GGTGTTGATGAAACTCTTTATTTTGATTGGAGATTGTAGGTGTAGAGACTTAGAGGTGTACCATCATTGAGCATGATCTAAACTATACTAAATGATATCAACAAAATTAGATAAGACTAAAAATGTTTCAAAGTGATATACATAACCTCAATCTTAACCACTAAGCCAAGATCTCATTGCCTTATCAATATATAAATTAAAAGAAATTGTCAAAAATGAATTGAAAAGGCAATTGGAAAATCTAGATTATTATATTTATTAATTACTTGTATTTATTAAGGAGGAAATTGGGATTTTTTTTTTATTAATATGCAAAATTGCAATTTTCTTAAGCTTGGCCAATAAATTAGAGGTTCATTTTCACCAAAACCCTGTGTAACCCACACTTGCCACTTAAATTTTGTGGGAAATTCAATTCTCAAAAAAACCCAAATTTCTTCATAAATTAGAGGATTGAAAGTTGTTTCTCTGAAATTCAGCACAAAATCTTGATTACTCAACAAAGAAGACGAGGATGTCAATGTCCTCGGTTGTATCTCCACCCACCATTTCTCTTACCCCTTGTTCATCTTTCAGTGGCAGACTCCTCTTTCTCTCTCATCCCCCCTCTAAAGCTTTTTTGCCTCTTCAGAATCGGTACTTTCTCTCTCTTCCCCACATAATTATAATTCTACCCTTTTGTTTTTATACATTTGCATGATTTCTCTTTAATGTACTGAATTTCTGTCGATTGAAACTGTCTTTTTGTTATTTACTTTCATAATTGAATTTGTTGGGTATGTTTTTCTTATTGTAAATTTACATGTGGGTGTGAATTTCTGTTGATTGAAACTATCTTTTTGTTATTTATTTTCATAATTGAATTTGTTGGGTATGTTTTTCTTGTTGTCAATTTACATGTAGGTGATGTTTTTTTTTTTTTTTGGATTTTGATTGAATTTTGAGTATATGGAAAAGGGGGATTTCAGATATATTATGTGTTTGTATGATTTTAGGTGGATTATTTTGTGTACATTAAAGGGGTTTGTAGAATCGTAGTTAATTATATGAAAATGAAATATGACAATTGTTGTAGTCATGTGTAAAAGGGATTACTAAGATTAATGGTTGAGCTTTAAAGAAGTAGCCGTAGAACAATTATTCAGAATGTTTTTTTTTTCATGTTACCTCATCACAGGTTCAAGAGATGTCATGTCAAGTGTAGTTATTCAGGAACAAACATAGACAACTCCAATTCTGCTACAATTGATGTTACAGCTGATGTTAAATCTGAAAAGGTATGAATTTGAATGGGTTAGATCAATCTTCTTTCTCTAAATTAACTGATAGTTACTTTATATAACTTTTTTGCTCTCTGGATCTGCTTTTCTCGATAGTTAGTTGTTGTGGGAGGCAGTGGTTTTGTTGGATCTGCCATATGCAAGGCTGCAGTTTCAGAAGGCATTGAGGTTGTAAGTTTAAGCAGGTGCGACTTTTTCATCATCTCAATTGACAATTTCCTCCTTGCTTGCCTTGCACAATCTTGTATAGCTGATACCTTTAGTACTCCATTACTTATATATGAAGTTTCTAGTTGCCTGTACAGAACTTGAAGCTTCAATGAAATTTTTGCAGGTCAGGACGGCCTCGTATTTCAGAATCTTGGGTAGATCAGGTTTCTTGGATCCCAGGCATGTGCCACTTTCATGCTATCTTACCACACTGATCTTACTGTTAACTTTTTAAAGTTCTTGATCAATGGAAATTTTACTGGATCTTGTGTCTACTTGGTATCTAACTATCTATACTGTCCTTCCATTAATGCCTAATGATTAATGAATGAGAAAATCAATATAAATGTTGTAGCATTTCTCTGAAATTCTATTTACAAAAATAATTTTTTAAACAAAGTTGCTGCCTGTCAAAATCTGATTGAATATTTCCGGTAAATTCGGTTACTCAACAAAATTGCTTTGTAGAGTTATTTGTACTATATAATGAAAGATCTTGCTGAATGTGGTAAATCTGGTAATTTTATATATAACATAAATATGTCCTGAATTTACTATACTCAACATAAGGAGGAACAGAATACACACAGAATCTAGCAACTAACTAGGAGGCATATGACTAAAAGATATGTATGAAACTTACTCTTTTGCTAAATTTAAAGGATTAGTTGGGCCATGGTTATTTTTTGCAGATTAGTGTAGGCGAGCTCCTGCAGAAAACTTGACCAAACTTCAAAGCCAATAATTAATTATTCCAAAAAGGAAGAAATAAAAAATTATTGTGCAACTCGGTGAAGTTTGTTGTGGAATGTGGGTTGCACATTATATTTTTTAGACCAGATAAGTCAGACAATGTTTACAAGAACCTTAGAATGTTTACCTGTGGATTTGTTGATAGTTGCGCGTTTGCAGAAGCATGGGAAATAGTGGTCTCTTTGGGTTCTCTGTGGTCGGAATATTATCTTGATAGTTACCTGGCACGTGGGATAGCAACCTTTCTAGTAATGCTATCCTGTGCTGATGTGCTCCATGGATGGTTTATCACCTCTTATGCTTGTATAATAGTTCCTAATCAATTAGATTACAATTAAGAGATTGCAGTCTTAAAGCAATGCACGTACAGTGGTTTGTCGAGACACATAGGTTATATAGTAATTGTGAAGATCTGTGGTCTTTCATGGAAACATGTATCTAATATCTTCCATATCACAGGGGATGTTTTTTATGCTAATTGGGATGAAATCCTTGTTGGAGCCACTGCTGTTGCTTCAACCTTGGGAGGTTTTGGAAATGAGGAGCAGCTGAAAAGGATTAATGGCGAGGCTAATATTGCAGCGGTAACTGCTGCAAAAGATTATGGTAAATGTCTATGTGACTTTATGTATGTTTTCAATGAGGAAAGTAATGCCTGATCTGATAATTTTCACTTTTATGCATCATTAACAATAATCTTATATTTATTGTTCGTGTTCCAAATTTTATCAAAGTAAGAGAAACCATTTTCTGGAAAAACAGATAACTGTGTATCATTTTATCTGTACTTTAACATGTAAGGCACTAATTTAAATTCAGGATGTAATCGGGGAGTGTGTCAGTTCAGTGACAGTTTTTAATGGTGTAAGGTGTCTTGTTTAGAACATGATCTTTTGAATAGTTTGGTAATCATTCAGATAGTAACAATACATGGCTTTAATTGTCACGTTTTCTTCAAATCTCCCGGTGAAAATATATATGTGCCATTGAATTATATTGCGTTCCCTAAGAATGCCACACTATTTTTTTCAAAAATGACACGATTGTATTATGAACATTGTCACTAGGTCATAGGGCTAGAGATAGAACAAAAATTTGGACAACTGTAACAAGTCAATCGTATCCTATGTATGCTGGATATGCAGAGTTGCAGACTGGAGGAATGCAGATAGATATATGCCATTTATATTAAAACAACCATAGAGACAACTAGTTTTGATCCTGTTGTTTATGGAAGATTAGGGTATATGCGGCCATTTAATTCATTACTCTCTTACTTTTATTTGCAGGAGTCCCTAATCCTGTTGTTTATGGAAGATTAGGTTATATGCGGCCATTTAATTCATTACTCTCTTACTTTTATTTGCAGGAGTCCCTAAATTCATCTTGATCTCAGTTCATGATTACAATTTGCCACCCTTCTTGCGTGAATCTAGTTACTTTACTGCAAAGAGGAAAGCTGAATCAGAGATTCTTTCTAGATACCCCAATTCAGGTAATAACTACCACTTGATAATTTTCTTTTCATGTGTCGATGCTCGTTGCTTCTATGTTGACCAGTTGAAGTATCTTGAAACTTAAAAAGGTTAGAAATAAAACAATAAACTTGTGTGGTTGGGATCATCTTCTGAGTTCTGATTCACTTTTTTCTCTCTGGAAGTTCCTTTATCAACAAGTAATGGGTTCATACTTGTTTTGTTGACCATAAAATTTTCCAGGTAGAACTAATGGAGGCACACCATACTAATATATAATCTTTTTCTCTAAACTAAGGGAGTTACTGCTCTCATTACAATCTTACCCCTTCAAATTGTTTTGTTCTTGTACACGCTTTAAGCTGTATGGCCTTTCCATGTAATGCTATGTGGATATGTCCGTTTCTTTTAATCAAGGAGGCTGTGCTTATGTCTTTTTTGAATCTGAATTTCCTCAGGGGTTATACTAAGGCCAGGTTTCATATATGGTAAGAGAAGGGTAGATGGCTTTGAGATCCCTCTTGATTTGATTGGGGAGCCATGGGAGAAAATTCTGAATGCTACGGAGAACTTTGTTAGACCTTTAAATTTTCTTCCTGCTTCAGACTTACTTTTGGCACCACCTGTCAACGTTGATGATGTTGCACTGGCAGTAATTAACGCTGTCAGAGATGATGGCATGTTCGGCATTTTTACAATTGATCAAATTAAACAAGCTGCAAAGAATGTGAAAGTGTGACCAAGTGAATTGATGCTGTCTCTGCATCACTGGATTTGCCAGATACTGAGTTTATAGTCTGAAACTGTAGGTTTGTAAATCCATGAGCAATACTCTTTCTTAGGCCTCATAGTAATGTACTAATGTGTATATCGATCATACTGTAAAACTAAAGGAAATTATATGAATTTTTGTCATTTCTTGGCTGCTAAATTTATGCCAGAAATGTCACCTTGGTTTTTATACTGTAAAACATTATGCCTCCTTTTCTTACATGTCATTCCTGTATTTCTTTTGTATCCTAGTTGGGTTTTAACCTAGGCCTGTTTTAATCTAGCTTATATATAATAATTAATCAATCCTAGTTGGGTTTTAATCTAGGCTACTGTTTGGAAGAACTGTGAGCTCTGCAAGCGTTGCAAATCCGTGCATTTCAGAAGTACACAGTTGAAGGTCTAAACGACCAAATCATTCTCATGCGTATTTTCTAGAAACTTATAATAATGAAATATTTTAAGTACAAAAATAAAGCAATGTAAACAGTTGAAACACGAGAGGAAAAAGTTATATTCAAGTGCTTGTGTTTGTATTATGCTTTCTGATATGTATGTCAAACACGAAGACGCCCCTTCAAATTCTGTTCATAAATTGTATACACATCCAAAAACCCTAATAAACTTGGAAATTGCCAGTCATTTTCATTCAACCAAGTAAGAAGCTTACAGACCACGAGTTCATAGGAAATCCGATTACGGAAGGCAACAAAGTAACACAGCTAGAAATAAAAATATTGAAGCTTGGAGAAGCTTATTAGCTTAATGGCACATTCATCATTGAGGAATTGGAAGTAAACAAAGGAAATTCCACTTTGTTGGCTGCCTACTTGAATGATTCACTATAGATGAAATGTTTTCAAGTTTAAATCATACTGGACGACACAGCTTGCTGCAACGAGAATGCAAATAACATCTAATCATGCTGCTTCTTAGCTAGAGACTGTTCTGTTAAATACCTGCGATAAATGGAAGTTTTTCATTAGTAAGACGTACATAACATACTGCAAATAACAGAGAGCTGCTAACAGGCATATGATGTTCGGGGGTAAACAATACTAAACATCTATCACTGCAAATAACACAAATGCATTGGTGTACAATCAATATTAATCATACACTCGCTCAATTCCGATGTCTCGAAGTTATCTTCGTATTGCCTACTTTGCTTACAACTGATCCCCCCTTCTCTCTATCAAATCAACCTTTTCTCTTTCACAGTTCCAACACTCTCTAGCTACTTTTTCCACACTCGCAATCAAAACTTGAGTAACAATGGAGATAATCATATACTTACTTTCCAGTGTAAAACCCTGCAGAATACCACGCATTCAGGACTGTGCTTAGATCAGTTCCAGGGGCAGCACTTTGTTCTGCTCCAATGTTGATTTTGTTCTCTTTTGAGTCTGCATTCCACATATATAAGGTGTAAGCAAACTAAGCAGTAAGCACCATAACTTCTCTATTCTCTTTATCAATAAGCATGCACGCATTATAGGGACAAGACAAAGCCTAGCTAGACATCATTTACACCAAGAAATGGACTTACGCAGAAATACTTCCTCCACTCCCTTAAATTTGCAACACTTAAAATTCAGTAAGTTTGACTAGCCAGAATGCCAGAAATGCCTGGCAATATGTCATAATGTGGGTGGGTAAACTAGGATGGATGGGCAATATAAAGTAGGTGAAACCCTATCCTTCCTCTTTTCTTTATAAGAGTGTCATTTTCAAGTGTTGCAAAATCAAGGAAACTGAGGAATTAACAAACTTCATGATGTCTTTAAGAAAAAGCGATTTCAAGTTAGCACACTAATGTCCTATACAGGGAAATTATCTCTGGTTCATATAAGAATCAATGACACTAGCCTAGAGCCCTAGATGAAGGTGAAACAACAATAACAGGCTAGTATCGATGACGGTGAAACTAACAATAACTGACGCTAGCATAGATGAAAATGACAGAAAACATCGCAAAACCACAATAAACATTTTCGTTAAATTGAAATACCAGAAGTTCCATTCGTCAATGTGGACATTGCTCTTTCAGCAGCTCCCATTGCCATCTTAACAATATCAGCATCTTCAACTGTCGAATGCTTTCCCTTATCTTCTATTGCCGGAGAATTGACACAAAGAGTACTAGTGGAAACACCAGCCAAAGGGCAGGGAACTGAAGAGCAAGAAGCCATGTTGCATTGACCAGCATATGGGCAGCAAGAAACAACCATTGTCCCACAAGGCACTTGACTTGCAGAGGATTGATATTCTTGGGTAACAGAATTGGCGCCCCACTCCAAGCCAGAAACAGGCACTTCACTAGGATAAGAATAATAATTATTGAAGTTCTGCAGTTTCTGTAGAATATTTTGCCTTTGTTCCTCAACTTCATAATACTGTTTATATAGTTGATTGTATTCATCCATGTCTAGGGAGGTAGAATGATTTTGAGACTGATCCTGCAGGGGCAAACTACTGGACCCAAGTGCATGTTCTTCAGGATCTTTTGAATCTGCATTTCCATTTCCTTTAGCTGTTTCCAGACTTTCAGTCTCTTCCACTTCTGGTGTAGCAAGTTGGCCATTAACATTCCCCTCATCAAGTTTTTCTGGATTACTTTACATGAAAATAGAAGTGGTAGCAAATTTAGAGTGAGTAACAGAGTTTAAATACAAAACAAATGAACCAACCACTTAAAATTACTATCAAGCAATATTATAAAAAAGAATCCTAATCATTCTAATACCGCTTTGATATCAGCAATTCACCATGGCATCAATATAATCCCATCAGAGTAGTTATGTTGCTTGCAGGTAATGAAGCATGATAACGGTCAAGTTACATGAAATGGTAGTCTTCCAGCACTTCCTACAATTATGCACAATGAAAAGCTTCAAGAGACCATCTTTTTTCGTTTGAAAAGAATGATATTAATACTTCAGATTAAGTATTACGTTACATTAATGTTGGCTCTACTTTCACCAATATTGTATTAAAGAGCATCAGGATGTGCATAATTCTTACTTTCAGAAACTAGAATTAACGGAAGTGATTTGTAAATCTTAATCATAGACGAGATGAACACATGGAAAACTGAAAGTAATTACATTTCAGTAAACTATTACGGACAATCAATATACAATCATTTTTTCCATAAGCTTGTGCATCAACTTCAAAAGATTGGCAACTTGAAACCTCCAAAACATAACAAATACTGCTAAAAGTTCCCTGATGATAGATAATATTTACCCTTTGGACACCTTGTTAAAGAACTCAAGCCTGTCAGCTATGCTACATAGAGTTTCCATCTGACCTCAAACATGAAACACCTATGTCAGATACTCAAAATTATAACTTGGGAGTGCACAAAAATTGGGATCGGATCCGTTGGGAACATGCGAATTCTTCAGAAAAGAATACAGAGAATTCAATCAACATACTTGATACATGTGTTCGCTACACATAGTGGAGACGACAAGACCACTAACCAAAGTGTAACACAGAATAAGATACCTGATCACTAGTACAGAGTAGGGCAATAAGCACTGCTCTTTCTAGTCCATTATATAACTACTTCACTCTACCTCCATCAAGAAATGATTGTCATCAAATTCCAAACCCTCATAATCAAAGATACAAAATAAATCTTTCTATGAAACCCTAGTCACATGATCCTTCCAACACTCCCCAAATCATCCATAAGGGCATCTATGAAACTAACAAAGGATGATTATTCTATGAAAGGTGACAACTTTTTCCGAAAACTCCATATATGTAACTACAAAATATCACTCCTTAAAAACATTAACCTAGCCTGCTAAACAAATCATCCCAGTTGCTACTTTCATAAAAAAAAAAATCCTCACCCAACAAATTATAAATCATGGGTACCCAATTTACACAAATAAAGTAAAAAACAAACAAAAAACCCTAAAAAATTAAATTAAGCAGGGTAGCCAAACCTGTTATGTTTTTTAGTAGCATCAACTACAGAGGGAGCATCAGAACTGCTGCATTTGATATCTGCAGAAGAAGTATTCGGATTTTCCTTGTACCCTTTTTTGTGCATTTTCTGCTTCACAAAAAAAAAATGAAGGATTAGAAATCAAGAATTGCAAATTAAGAGCAAAAATAGTAGAAAGAAAAATAGTACTATGTACTCCGTACCTTGTACTTGGAAATGGCTTCATCGAAAGCATTAATTAGAGCAGAATCATCCCACAATTCACTCTCTTTTCCCATTCGCTTTTTCAGTTTTTCCTTCTCTACGATTTATCAAAGCGGCGAGTTTGCACTTTGCAGAGAGAAAGTTACAACTTAGAAATTTGTATTTTTCCACAGAGGTGGGATTAAATTTTTGGCTTACAAAGTTACATACTTACATAGTTACATGTACAAACATTACCTTTCCCTTCACCCGTCCACCCCTAAATGGCCTAATCCGCGAATTTAAGTCAAACTGTCTGCCCCGATCACTCGTTAGAGATTTATTTAGGGTTTGTTCACTTGGGTTTATTTCAGTTTAATTTAATTCAGTTCAGTTTAATTCAGCTTCAATCAATTTAGTTCAATTTCTAATTTTCTTCTCTTACAAACAGTTCAGTTTAACTTAATACAATTCAGCTTTAATTAACTAAATTCAGTTGAGCTTCAATCAACTCAATTTAGTAAATCAGAATAGGCCCTTAATTGATTCCTTATCAATAATATTGCCCTTACAAGGAATAATGACATTCTTCTTTTGGATGTATGCATCTTCATTTGGATTTTTTTAAAAAAAAGTAATGACAAGTTACAAACCTTACAATTAAGAATATCAAACTATGAGTATTTGGATTAAAAATGGAGATGCGGGGTATCAATCCCCGTACCCCTAAATGGCCTAATCCGCGAATTTAAGTCAAATCGTCTGCCCCGATCACTCGTTAGAGATTTATTTAGGGTTTGTTCACTTGAGTTTATTTCAGTTTAATGATAACTTGTTATTTGGTATGATTTTAGGGTACTTTTGAACCTTGTTTTCGTGATTATTCGACATCAAGGTTCATTATTTATCCTATTTTTATATAAATTTTGTATCATCCATGCTTTACGGGTTGTTTGTGTTTTTTGATGTAATGTAGCTATGCTTTACGGGCTATTTTTGCACTAAGGTCAACTTCAACTGACCATAACTTTTGTTCCACTCAACATTTTGAAGTGATTCAAATTGTAGATTAAAGTTCATCTCAAGAGATTTTCAACGACTGTCACATGCCTTATTCCGATGAGTAACGAAGAAGTTATGACCTTCCGAAAATAAGTTGTTTCGCCAGAAAAGGGTTGCACGTCCGTGCCAATAAGTGGCACGTCCGTGCAAGTCCCTGCACGTCCGTGCCAAATGAATCACGTCCGTGAAAGGTCAGGCAGTAGCTACTGCTGGTATTTTAACATGTCTGCACGTCCATGCAACCTTTGGCACGTCCGTGCCGACCTGTAGACGGGTCGTTTCCTCGTGTTCTCCGTCCTTTTACTTGGGGGGTTATATAATACCTCTTTGGCTTCATTTGTAAAGAGGAGATCTTCTTACATTAGTTTTAGCTTAGGTTAGGATTTTTAGAGAGATAAACTCTCATTTTCTAGAGAGAGAAAGTGTGAAAAACTTGTTGAAAGCTTGGAATAATAAGAATTGAAGGAAAGAGACTTGAAGATTTGATTATTTCTTGCATTATCAATAAGAATTTCTTACTCTCTCTCTTATTTTATTGCTTTAATTACTTATTTTTTTGTATCTTTTCTAGTTTTATTACTTGTTTATGTTAAATTAGTGTTTGGATTCATGTTCTTAGTAGTTTACTACTTTAGTTTGCAATTTATAATGATGTGTGAGTAGTTCTTTTACTTGGGATGGTTGAAACCATTGATGAATTCACAATTACTTGTTTGCATGTGTTGATTTAGCTAATGTGGGGTGTTAATTAGTTGAGCTTAAGTGGTTTAATTGCTTAGTTCTTGTATATGGCCATTGCTAGAACTATTATCTAAGCTTTCTCAACGAAGGATGGAGAGATGAACTTGAGTTAGCTCCTTTATGCTTAATTGACTTGAAATGCCATGATAATAGGAATTTCCAGTCAAGGGAATATTTTTGTCATCGTGATTATACTTTAACACTTGTTTTATGCTTTGTAACCACGAGAGTAGGTTGTATTCATGACTCAAGTAATCCCTCTAGCTTGAGAGAGTAGTTGGGTGCCTTAGATGACTTCCCCTAATTTATCCCCAAATTGCTATGTTTTGTATGTTAAATTGTAGTTTGTGAATGACTTAATTGGTAGATACCTTCCCAAGATCCTTTTTATTATTGTTTATAGTTTTTCATTATAACTCAAAACCCAAAAAGACTTGACTTAGCTTATCACAAATCGATACTTGTTAGTGCTCCCCTTAGTGCTTGTGGGATCGACCCTTACTTGCCTTTTCTACCCATTAGAGAGATCAAGTTAGGTTTTTATCTTTGGTAGGCTCGACGACGGCCTATCATTTAATTCAATTCAGTTCAGTTTAATTCAACTCCAATCAATTTAGTTCAGTTTATAATTTCCTTCTCTTACAAACAGTTCAGTTTAGCTCAATACAGTTCAGCTTTAATTAGCTAAATTCATTGAGCTTCAATCAGCTCAATTTAGTAAATCAGAACAGACCCTTAGTTCTTTCCTTATCAATAATATTGCCCTTACAAGGAGTAATGACATTTTTCTTTTGGATGTATGCATCTTCATTTGGATTTTAAAAAAAAAAGTAATGACAAGTTACAATTAAGAATATCAAACTATGAGTATTTGGATTAAAAATGGAGATGCGGGGTATCGATCCCCGTACCTCTCGCATGCTAAGCGAGCGCTCTACCATCTGAGCTACATCCCCTGAGATGACAAATTGTTGTAATTTAACATTATTATACTAATACTTAAAATCCCAGACACTCCGCGCCGTGACTCAGCTATTTAAATTTATCTAGTGCGTTCGATTCCATGTTTGTCATGAGTCATGCGTTACTTGTTTGTTAAGTTGTTGCGCTTTATCCACACAAATCACGATCGATCTACTTGTTTCTTTCATGCTGTTCTTCTTAGAGGTGACCAAATTTTAGGAATATGAAATTCTCTAAATAAAGAAGAACCAAAAAATCACTTATTAATTATAGTTGTAAATTTGGGTAAACGGGTCGAGTTTGGATCGGTTAAGAGTGGGTCGACTCAACTCGGGTCAGGTCAATTCAGATTAATTCCATAAGCTATGCGGGTCGGGTTTGGGTTGGGTCATGTTTGAGTCGGGCCATACTTCTTATCGGGTTTGGGTCAGGTGAACAATAAGTCGGGTTTAATTCGGGTTAAAACGGGTTAGGGTGATTCTCGGGTTCGAGTCGGGTTCGGTTCAAGTCAATAAATTTGCAGGTTAGAATCAGGTCGAGTCATTCTCAGGTTTGAGTCGGGTTTGGTTCAAGTCAATAATTTGCGGATTATAATCAGGTCGGGTCATTTTCAAGTCGGGTCATTCTCGGGTTCAAGTCAGGTTCGGTTCAAGTCAATAATTTGCGGGTTATAATCAAGTTGGTCATTTCCAAGTCGGGTCATTCTCGGATTCAAGTCGGGTTGTGTTCAAGACAATAATTTGCAGGTTACAATCAAGTCGAGTCATTTCCAAGTCAGGTCATATTCGGGTTCAACTAACTATAAATAGATAATTATCATTTTTATCAAGCTAATTATTTCCTTTGACCATACAACAAATACATACTATATCTAACTCTTAAATTTGAGGATGATGCTCCTTTCTTTTGCTGCCTGGACCGACTTGAATTGGTCTCCCTAGACAAAATGCTTGGATCAACAATAATAAGGTGATCTAAATTGCATTGAAAGTGATTAGAAATCGGGTCAAGAACAATTTGGGTTGAATTTAGGTCGGGTCAATAACAAGTCATGTTAATTTCGAGTCGGATTAGTAACAGATTGGGTTTAATTTTTGGGTTGGGTAATTAACAGGTATGGTAAAATTCGGGGCGGGTTGAATTTGGGTCAAGTCAATAACAAGTCGGGTTGATTTCGGGTCGGATTTGTAACAGGTTGGGTTAAAAATTCTAGTCGGGTTGAATTCGGGTCAGGTTAGTAATAAGTCAGGTTGAATTCGGGTCAGGTTAGTAACAAGTCAGGTTCATTTCAAGTCGGGTTCGGTGCAAGTTAATTAAATCGACCGTTGTAAACTGGTAAATCGATACAAGTTGTAAACCGATAAATTGGCCGTTTAAAAGCAAATTGAATGGTTCCACACACCCAGAGGGTATTAGGGACCATGGTAAACATTTCGGCAATTTTTATTTTCAGGCCAAAAAAAAGTCAAAAAAATCAAAAATTAAGGCTAATATCCACGTTTTTTGAGAAATTTTGGAGGCTTCGGGTCCGGTGTCGAAAAGTCTTAAAATTTTATGGGATACATCTCAGGGTCATATAATGCTGTTTGGAACCATATATGATCATTATTTGTTGTCATAAATGTTCATGGTAGGCTTGAATTAATGAAATCGATACAACAAGTTGTAAACGGGTAAATTGGCCGTTTAAAAGCAAATTGAATGGTTCCACACACCCAATTAGACTCCCGGAGGGTATTAGGGACCATGGTAAACATTTCGGCAATTTTTATTTTCAGGCGAAAAAAAGTCGAAAAATTCTAAAATTGAAGGCTAATATCCACGTTTTTTGAGAAATTTTGGAGTTTTCGGGGCCCAGTGTCTAAAAGTTTCGAAATTCTAGGGAATAAATATCGGGGTCATATAATGTCGTTTGGAACCATATGTGGTCATTATTTGTTATCATACATGTTCGTTGTAGGCTTGAGTTAATGAAATCGGTGCAAGTTGTAAACCGGTTATTAAATTGGTCATTTAAAGGAAAATTGGATGGTTCCACCCACCCAATTGGACCCCCAGAGGATATTAGGGATCATGGTAAGCATTTCGGAAATTTTTATTTCCGGGCGAAAAAAAGTTAAAAAAATCCTAAATTGAAGGCTAATATCCATGTTTTTTGAGAAATTTTGAAAGTTTCGGGGTCAGGTGTCGAAAAGAAATGAGATTTTATTCGATACATCTTGGGGTCATATAACGACGTTTGAAACCATAAATGACCATTATATGTTTTCATAAATGTTCGTGGTAGGTTTGAGTTAATAAAAGAAGTGCAAGTTGTAAATTAGTAAATTGGTCGTTTAAATGCAAATTGGATGGTTCCACCCACCTAATTGGACTAACGAAGGGTATTAAAAACCATGGTAAACATTTAGGTAAGTTTTATTTTCGGGCGAAAAAAAGTAAAAAAATTCCAAAATTGAAGGCTAATGTCCACGCTTTTTGAGAAATTTATGAGGTTTCGGGGCACGGTGTCAAACAGCCTTGAGATTTTAGGGGATACATCTCGGGGTCATATAATGCCGTTTGAAACCATATATGATCATTA